CAAAGACTTATATATATATATTTTTAAATATATTTTATTGATTTTTTACAGAGAGGAAGGGAGAGAGATAGAGAGTTAGAAACCTCGATGAGAGAGAAACATCGATCAGCTGCCTCCTGCACATCCCCCACTGGGGAAGTGCCCGCAACCCAGGTACATGCCCTTGACCGGAATCGAACCTGGGGCCCCTCAGTCCGCAGGCCGATGCTCTATCCGCTGAGCCAAACCGGCTTTGGCAAGACTTATATTTTTGATATTTATTTTATATATTTAAATGCCATTTAACTAAGAAAAATCAACCAAAAAAATGAGTTCGCGTGTCACCTCTGACACGCGTGTCACAGGTTCGCCATCACTGGGCTAGGGCAACTATGTCCATTTTTAAGAAGTCCATGGCAAGACCCCATTGGCCTGTGCAGGTTGACACTAACCTGGAACCCCTTCTGATCCCATGACCAGCTGGGCAAATCCTCTTTGCCCTCCAGGAGCCAAATCCAGCCATAGCCCCCATTTAGGTCACTGACTCTATGACTCGGTGGGAAGGGGAGGGGGAGTCCGTCTCAGGTTCCCAGGAGCCCCTCGACAAGCACAGCGAAGGCTGAGTTACCCTGCGGTCTGAGGAGGTGCACAGACAGTTCTGCTGCCCCCCAGCACCGGGGCCCCTCTAAAGCAGCCCGTCTCCTGTGGACTCGAGACGTGCAGACGTCGGAACTGTGCCGAGGACCAGCCTTTCCCAAGGGCGAGGTCAGAGCCCGACAGGACGGGTTATTTTTAATAAACTCCACTTGGCAGGAATTCAGGCAAGAGATGGGCACGGTGAGGACAGCGCTGGCTGAGCCAGGGGGCACTGGGCGGGATGTGACACCCAGGACAGGGCCACCCTCTCCCTCCTTGGAGTTCCCGTCCAGATGGAAGGAAAAAAAACACGTATTTCAGACGAGCATCACGCCAGCCCTGGAAAACTCAATAAAGGCTTCGTGCGTAAAAGGTGTTTCCAAAGGCCGGCCACTTGACGTCAAGATGGGCGATGAAAAGGCCTCGCTAATTCCTAGGGATGCAGACAGGACGCGGGGGTTCGGGGCGGCCTCTCTGAGTGGCAGCTTGGTCAGGGAGTGCGTAAAGAGCATCTGTCATGTCGACACCGGGAGCCACGCTCACATCTCCTTTCCAACTGAAAAATCCCCGGTGCCGGCCCAGCCACAGGGAGCGTCCGCATGACGAGAATGAGCATGGGCATCCACGGGCTGTTTTCTTCTCCTCAAACTGACTGTGAGCATCTAACGAGACCCGCGGCTGGAAAATTCCACTGGCTCCTGGGTTAGCCTCGCCTGCTCCGCCTCATCAACCCTAGACAGGTCCCCCAGCTGCCGACGCTCCGTCTTTCCAAAAGGGGCGCCTTGGTCCAGGGCTCGCCCTGGGGTTTCGTGCCCTCTCCATCCACATGCCTCTCCTTGGTGAGCTCACCCGGCCCACGGCTCCAAGTACCAGCTGCATGTGGACAACTCCCCAGTTCCTGCTTCCAGCCCAGACCCTTCTCACAAAGTTCAGACTCAAACACCCTCCTCCCCTTGCACATCTCCACTTGGATGTCTGATGGGCGTCTCTAGCTGAGTGTACCCCCCAAACGAGCCTCCCTCAGCTGCCCTCTGTCTCCATCCTCCCAGTGGCTCTGGTCAACACCTTTAAGTCATCTGCACGTCTTCTCTCTCCCCCCACCTCCCCCCAATACATCAGAAATACTATGAACTCTTGCCCTGGCCAGGTGGCTCAGTTGGTTGGAGGGCCATCTTGTACATCAAAAGGTTGTGGGTTCGATCCTTGGTCAGGGTGCATACAGGAGGTGGCTGATCGGTGTTTCTCTCTCTCTCTCTCTCTTTCTCTCTCTCCGTCTCTCTCTAAAAATCAGTTAAAACATATCCTTGGGTGAGGATTAAAAACAAAAGAAATACTGTTAACTCTGCTTTTAAAACATGCCCCAAATCCAACCGCTCTCACCACTGCGAGATGCTGCCACGTGCCTGTGCCACCATCAGCTCTCACCTGGACTGCAGCCGCCTCCAACCAGAGCTCCCAGCTCCCGCCCCGGCCCCTCAGAGCCTGTTCCCAACACAGAGTCAGAGAGTCCTTTAAAAATCTACGTCAGACCACGCCACTGCTCTGCTCAGAACCCTCCAGTGGCCCCCATGTCACTCAAAGTTCTTTAGTGGCACAGGTCTGGCATGACTGACACCTCTCCTGGATCCCTCGGCCCCGCCCCCTCCACTCAAGCCCGGACTGAGAGACTTGACCATCCTGGCAAGAAGGAGCCACCGCCAACAGGGGGCAGCGCCAGAATTCAGGGCCCCAAAAGACCGGGGAAGGTCGAGGACGAAGGGGCGGGCAGGGCCTGTTGGTAGAAGGTCTGGTACGTCAGTTTCAGAACTCAGACTGTATCCTGGGTGTCAATGCTTCCCAACCCCGGACACGCAGTGCAGTCGGAAAATGTTAAAAAGGCCCCAGCGGCCCCAGTACCAGTAAGAGGAGCCAGGGCTCCTTGGAGAAACAATGAGCGCTAAGTGAAGGGCAGGAAGCACACCAGACGAACTGCGACACCACATGGCAGCCGACGGCCAGGAGGCCACCCGCGATCACCGTGTCCTCCAAGGGCTCAGAAGCCAACCCAAGGGGCTTCCTTGGCCAACGAGGAGACCATGCCACCCCAATAAAAACCGTGACTGCTGTGCATCAGAACGCACCACGTGAAGGCCACACATGTCACACTTGGGCTGGTTACTGCCAGTGAACCAATGGGTACATTGAAAACACAAAAACAGGAAAGGAATAACGCACTTCCTGTATGAGCTTTACCACTGGGTAACCAGGGAGTCATCGAATGTGTTTCCTAGTTAGCAAATGAAGGGACGACAGACTCAGAACGTCGCCATGGTGTCACCCCTCATTCATCAACAGATGTGGGTACTGAATATCACCACTTTATTTTTTTGTTGTTAATCCTCACCAGAGTGTACTTTCCATTGATTTTTAGAGAGTGGAAGAGAGAGGGAAAGACAGAGAGAAAGAAACATCGATGTGAGAGAGACACATTGATGCACGTGCCCCGACCAGGGCCAGGGATGGAGTCTGCAACCAAGGTAGGTGCCCTTGACTGGGATCGAACCCGTGATCCTTCGTTCCACAGGCTGACGCTCTATCCACTGAGCCAAACTGGCTAGGGCTGGGTGCTGATTATCAATGGCTGCTGCCTTCTCAGAAAGAAAGACAACCAGAGAGTGTACGTCCCCTGACAGAGCAATGCGAAGCCACTTATGAAGTCAGTCCCCCCACCCTCCAGTTGAAATGGGCCTGATTAATGATCAATTTACAAGAAATACAGAGGAACTTATTAAATGACACATGGGGACGAGTGCGCAGAGTTCCGACCACAGAACACTCTTCTGGATGGGCGAGGGAGATGGCTATAAACTGCTAAAACATGCATTTATAAAATAGGAGAAAGCCAGACATGGGAATACTGACTAATAGTAGATAATAGGGAAAAATAATATTTGAGTTATGGTAATGGCATTGCGGTTATATTTTTGTTAAAGAGCCCTTATTGTCCAGAGACACATCTGAAATGTTCACAGATAAAATAATAAATGTGAGATCTGCTACAAAACGCTACAGAGGAGCGGAGGTGGGTGAAAAAAGACTGGCCTTGAGCTCATCATTGTTGAAGTGGGGTGAAGGATGCGTGGGGGCTCATTACACCATTCCGTAGACTTTTACCTTTATAGCTTGAAATTTTCCATAATAAAAAGCTATGAAAATACCGGGCCCCACCCCCCAGAGAAACACATTAATGAGTCTGGGCTTCAGTGCGAGCGCTGGTATTTTTTTTAAGGCTCCCGGGTGTTTCTGCTGCTCAGCCGAGGTTGAGAATGCTGCAATCGCTTACAGGAGACACGCAGAGAACCTGCACTAAGACCAAGACGGAGGCCATGGAGGGGAGGGGACTGGTCTGGGAGGGTTAAGGAGCCCAGCACAGGGTCCTTGATCGGGTCGGGAAGGGATGAGGAAGAAGGAGAGGTCAAGGACAATGCAAAGGATTCAGGCTTGGGTGACTGGGGTGCTGGTCACTGGCCCAGGGAACATGTCAGGGCTGGTAGTTTGGGGGGCCTGGGGAGAAGCTCTGAGTGTTTGGGACACACTGACATTGAGGGGCCCATGTGACTTCCAGTGGAGACAGTCAATGGGCAGTTTGGTTTGTGGGTCCAGAGAGCCACAGCCAGACCTGGAAGAAGACACAGAAACCCAGGCCCCCTAAACCAAGACCGAGGTCGGGATGGCTGCAGCCAGTAGAGAAAACCTAGGGCAGAGGCCAGGCGGAGGTGCCGCCTCCCTGAGCAGGTCTGAGGAGCCCCTGCACATCCCCTCCTCCAGGCCTCCAGGCCTCCAGGCCTCCAGGCCTCCAGGCACATCTGTTACACAGGTGAGCGACCAGAACAGGTGCAGGAGGCCCCCGTGGTGTGAATCACGGCCACATGTGCCAGCAGCAGTCAGATCAGCTTGAAACTGCCAACACGCACTCAGTGCCCAAACACGTGCTGGATGCCTGCGTGGGCGGGCTCTGTGCGAGGCAGGGGTGACCCGGAGCCAGGGTCCTGGCCTCAGGGAGCTTGCTTTCTAGTGGGCAGTTGGCAGGAAACAAGTCCCCGCACACGAGCTTTGGAATTACCACACAACTGCCCCGTGTACAGCCGTGCACAGCCAAGGCTCCCGGAATCAGGGAGCTGACAGGGCCTCACGTTAAAGCAGTAGGAACGGAGGCCCAGCGGGGAGGTGGCCACCCACGGCCGCAGACCTGGAGATGACACAGCCGTCTGCACGGAAGTTTCTGGAGCAGCCATTTTATTCGCCGCAGCCTTCTAAACCATGTGGCCTAGCGTTTCCTGTGGACGAACACAATCGCTGATCACCGAGGACCCAGGACCCTCCTCCCCCCAGGACCAGGGACTTACCACTGAGTCCAGAAACTGAATGTAACACTCCAGCCCAGGCCTCGCTTCACAGAACTGCCGGAAAAGCAGCCTCCCGATCGGCTGCTTGTCACATAAGCTGCAGTAGTCTCTGTCTGGAGACAAGAAAAGAGGAACGCGGTGAGACCCAGGAGAGGGCCGGGCCGGGCTGTCCCACCCACCCCACCTGGAGGTAATGCCCCGGGTGGGTGGAGCCAGGTGCCTGGCAAACTCTCAGGAGCCCTTATGTGTCCCCAGGCCCGCAGACGCAGAGAGGACGAGGTCAGTGCCGAGGAAGCTGCCATGGCCCACTCCCCTTGCCGATGCCCTGGTTTCTGTATGGAGATGCCAGCAGTTCTGGGGACTATGACTGCCCCTGGCTGGCCATCAGCATGTCACATCCGCTGGTGAAAGTGACTGGATACTGGTGGCAGGCATGGCACCCATGCCAGTAAAACCAGAGTGGACCACAGACTGCCTGGCACGTTGAGCAGAGGTGCTTTCTCTGCCTGTGGATGGGGTGCGAGGGGCGAGGCCAGAGCCTGTGCGGAGTTCTTGACCCTGGGAAGGAAGTGGCTGCGAGGACCAGGCCGACTCACAGAGGAGGCCAGAACTGAAAGAATTACAAGTAGACTTGGGGCCTGGTGGTGCCATGAGGCTCTGGATCAAACCGTGCCTGCAGCTCAACCATATCTGAGGCACTTACTAAAGAGCCTTGCTTGGAAAAAAAAAATGGTAATTACTTGTAATTCAAAGCATCCTAATGAATGCAGCAAAAAAATCTTTTATTTTTGTCCAATTGGAGCAAAGCCAGTCTTGGGATGTTTCAAATTATGAAAAGCCTGCTTTTTCCAGCGGAGGCGCTAGAGGCACAGAGACAGAAAGTGGCCAGCCCTCAGCCACGCCGTCGCCACGCGAGGCCTCGCCAATGACTTGCCGTGTGACTTCAGGAAGCTCACTTGTCCTCTCTGGGCCTCAGTCTTCCTCTGAAAAATGCAGGCCCGTGTGGGACGTGAGATGGAGGTTGGGGAGGGAGTGGGGGGTCCCTTCTCGGCTCTTCCTGCAATGACTACTAGAGGCTTCCTCAAGGGCTGAGGCCCCGGCCGTGAGCCTTCTCAAGCGAGCACTGTGAATTTGCTTCGACCCTGCAGCTGTGCAGAAACAGTCAGGAGATTTCATGGGGAACCAGGAAGCGGGCTGAGTTAGACCTGGGTTAGGGGCTACCTGGACAGGAGGAATGACTGTCCTTGCCAACTGCAGAGGAGGAGCCAGGACGTGGGGTTTCTCTGGAGATGGGGACTACAACGGGAGAAACGAATATGGCCATCATTTCCATGCACAAAGAGCTTAGCCACGGGCAGTTCGGGAGGCAGGGGGCTGTGAGCATGGGTTATGGAGCTAAACCGCCTGGGTTCAAATCTCAGCCTCACCACTTCCTGCCTGTGTGACCTGGGACAACTCACTGGACACGTTTATCCCTTGGTTTCCTTATCCGTAAACTGGAAACAGCAATGGTATCCAGCTCCTGCGACCATCACGAGGACTGAATAAGACAACGTGGAGAAAGGACTCAGACCAGAGCCTGGCACATAGCAAATGCTTAATAAACCACCTGCTGTCATCATGGATGTGGCTTTCCGGTCTGCACCATCTCCTTATCTCTAGGGCAGTGGTCGGCAAACTGCGGCTCCAGAGCCACATGCGGCTCTTTGGCCCCTTGAGTGTGGCTCTTCCTAAGCCTTAGGAGTACCCTAATTAAGTTAATAACAATTTACCTACCTATATAGTTTAAGTTTAAAAAATTTGGCTCTCAAAAGATTTCAATCGTTGTACTGTTGATATTTGGCTCTGTTGACTAATGAGTTTGCCGACCGCTGCTCTAGGGAACCGGTCTGTAAGAACCCAGCCAGCCCTAACCAATCAGAGCCCCCTTCCCTATTGCCACACGATAGGTTCCCTGGCCTGAGTGGGCCTTGGTGTCCTTCCAGGGTTTTTGCTAGAACTTTGCTAGATACTTGCTCCTCTCTGGGTGACAAGGCTAAGGGAATGGTCGCCCCAGAGCTGCCACAACTGTCCCTCCCACCAGGTAGTGAGCCCACGGAGAACGAAGCCAGCACAGGGGAGAGAGCCGAGTGAAGTGAGAAACCTGGTGCCCGAAGAGCACAGGGGCCCCGAGGCCAGCCTGCCATGCCAGCGGCGCCTGCAGGGTCTTCACCCAGAGTCTGCGCTGAGGCCAGCTGGTGTTGGTTTTTGTCTCTTGCAACTGAAGGAGCAACAACAGGCTGGAGAGTCTCACAGCCCACATATCACACGGGGAAACTGCCTGAGGGCAGGGACTGGTTTTGTAGACATTCACCAGCTCTAGGTATTCTGTGGGGCAAGAAGGCACTCCAACATTTCTCATTCTCACAAGTGGGTACTTTGATCAATGGGGCATCCTCCTCGAGTGGTTTGGGGGCTGAAACTAGCCTTGAACTATCACCTTAATCCAGTCCACCTTTCCATGCACACAGACGGTTCATGAACACTTAACCCACAGCCCTGCGGGCCAGGACTGGTGAGGGCAGGGCTGGGATGTGGGCCCAGCCCTCAGGGATCTTGGATTCTGTTGGAAAGGGAGTGTGTGTGTGTGTGTGTGTGTGGGGGGGGGGGGGTGAGCTGACAAGATCCCAAGTGACAGTAATAAAATGTCAAGTTAGATGAGTGTCATCTTCAGCCACAGTGGGGAGTCTGGAAGGAGGCCCAGAGGGTGACAGGTCTGTGGCTGCACCTGTTAGCACACTGTCCTGCAGACTCGGCCTGCATTCTCCCTGCCTCCCACGCATCCGTGCCCAGGGGTGAGGAAAACAAACGCCCCCAGCCCTTCCCCATCAGCTGAGCTTCCCAAACACAGGAGAGTAAATCACCTGATGTCAAGCTCCCGTTTTATTCAATCAGGGCACAGAGCGCCACACGCTGATGCGATTTAAGCAACTCCCCGCTTTTCCAAAAGCAATTATGAGACTTCATGTACTGTGTTGTGATTGCTTAAGGGTTCATCTGACAGCATTTTTTCCTCTCCATATGGCGTTCGCTGTCAGTATGGAAACAAGGCTGTCATAAACTCACAGCGTAGTAAACACCCAACACGAGCTGTCAGCACCTCCGTTCCCTGCCGCTCCCAGCGACACAGCGGATCCCAGGCGAGAAAGCCGCCCCCTGGAAGCCCAGGGAGAAATAAAAGGCCTAGTAATCATCTATTCAGGCTCTTTTCTCAGCATAAGTGAAGATAATGGGCCGATGTGAGGAAGCACCAGCAGCAACGATAAAACCAAAGTGCACGCTTGTGCATCTTTCAGAAAAGGGAGAACGGAGCCATGGGAGGTGGAGAGGAGTCGGGGGCTGATGGAGGGGCAGGAGGAGGCGCAAATCCAAGGGCCTGGGAGCGGGGGCTGGTGAGCAGGAGCGTCCGGGACAGTGGGGCAGACCCTTTTCTGTCTGAATCCCCCAGGCTGGGGCAACTCTGGATGCTATGCACACAGACACTACGCACTGTCCACACACACACACACACACACACACACACACACACACCTGCTCTTCTAGAACCCAAAACTCCTGCTTTGGGCCATGTGCCTCATTGGTCCTTCCCTCCAGCCAGAAAGAGGCTGTTGTTACATAAGACGGGAGGGGCATCAGGGCCTCCTGCCCCCAAAGGATCCAGCATCAGCGAGTCATTGTAGCTTTATTCTCTCAGGTCCCTCTTTAGTCAACAAACTCTCGCCCAAGGTCTCTTGCTTTTTGATATTAGAAGGTTCCTTCAACTTAAGACTCTCCTCTTGAATTCAATGCCTGGGGAGGGGGTGGGGTGGATAAATGGGTGGGAAGAGGTGCACCTTATACACCCTAGTGGGCTAATGATCCAGTAACAGGCCTGGAGTCAACAGCTAGCCATCAGCTGAGACCAAGAATGGGGGTGTGGTCTTTGTGATGTGACATCTGGCCTTGGCCGCAGTAACAGAGATTTGGTGGACAGGTGTCCAAATGTATAGGTGTCCAAAGGAAGGTGGCCGAAGAGGGGCCTAAAAGACCATGACAAGCACCAGGACACGGGGCTGTGCCCTTGGTCAAGGGGCAGAGCGCCCCAAGGAGGGGCTGGAGCCTGCTGTGCGCTCAGGAGGGTGGTGAGAGAGACCCTGGGAAGGCAGGCTGGGCTCAGACAAGCAAGGGCTGGACTCCAAGGGCAAGGAGACCAGAATGGACTCACTGTACCACTGGAGCATCCACGATGTCAGAGCACCAACAATTCAAGTACAGCCCGGGGAAAGGTGGACAAAATGGGGTGGGGGAGTCTCAGACGTTTACAGGGGAGCTGGTGGCCGCAGGAGCCCCTCCACGGGGGTTCCAAGCCGTCTTTGGCACGGAGGGCACAGTGCCCGTGGCTGGGATCCTGCTTCGGTGAAGAGCCGGACTGAAGGAAACCACATGTTCTGTTTGTTTCTTCAGGGGCTTGACACCTCTCAGGCATGCGGAGGGCTGGCCCGGGAAGCAGGAGGGCCACATCGGCTGCAACACGCTGAACTGCAGCCAGGCCCTCCGACAACGGTTCCTCCCACAGACAGACCCTTCAGCGGGGCCATGGGCATTGGCTGAGCCCCTGCCAGGCACTGCGCCCTGTGCCCTGAGAGCAGACGCACCTCCACAGGCCTTATCTTTGTCCTGAGCAGGGAATGTGTTTATGAGACGGGGCAGGAGGGAGGCACGTTCACGGACAGGCTGGGAAGAACAGCCACGGAACAAACCGTAGACGTCCGAGGAGGGGGCACACACTGCCCTCGTGCCCAGGGGCGGGTTTCAGGGGTGCCCATGGGACAGCACGCCGGAACATGGGAATGGGAGTGGCAGGGTCGCGGAGGGCAATGCCGGCAGGGGAGAGGCTGAGTGCTGGGGAAGAAGAAAAAGGTCAAAGCCAAAGAAATGGGGCCAGAGGTTGGGATGAGGGGTGAGGAGAAGCCACGTGGGGAGGTAAATCCCCAGGTGAGAAGCCAGGAGGCGTTAGGGCAAGAGTTCAAGGCGAGGCCTGAGATCGCTGCAGGGAGCCTTCGAGAATGGCTGAAGTGTGTGAAGGACCTACAAA